AGTTCGAAAGATAGAAAAATTTATCATCATTGACATTACATATATAGTATTAAAAATGATTTATGTTCAATTTGCTCTGAATGTTAATAATATATGTCATATCTTGTTAAAATTTGTTTAATATAGGATGAAAATTTATTGATTTTTATGTGTTTTATTTTTTAATTTTTGATTTTACCAAATGTAAGCATAATTTTCACCGATTATGTTTTTTTAGAGTGACATAGTTCATTATGTGATTGAGTACTAAGTTCTTCCAATATGAGCTGACGTAATTCATTACAAATAAATAAATGAAAAAGAAAAGATTATTTATTTCAGTCTTGCCGGATTACAGATCTTTTAACCCTTTTTCATAGGATATCACTCTGTGGTCATAGTCGGCTTTGACATAATGAATGACGAACTCGTGGCTGTATATAGCCATAGTGATATTCAGAATAAAAAATATATATTTATGTATCTCTGGCGACTTTGCATATCGTTGTGTGTGTATATAGTACACAAAAAAATCATTATTCAAATAGGAGATAATACACATAAAGGTCTATTGGTTTTCTGTATTTCGTTGCGGCTACAAATGTCCAAAAAGAACATCATTTTTTTTATTTATATATCACATTACAAAAATGTATAATGTAATATATGTTTTGTAGCCACTTACACATGAAGACCTTAAAAGGTAAATAAAAATAATACAACCAGTAGTTTAGAAATATTATCAAATCTGAATATATGAATATTATTGGATTTGATATTTTCAATTTGTTTTTACTGCAATTTAATTTCAAAATAATTTAAGAAATTTTGTAAGATTTTATTAAAATACATGTAATATTCAATAATAGAAAAATATTTTCATTATCTAATATTATCTATTGAAATATTTTATTAATATTTTTGTAATAGTGATAAACTCATCCGTAGAAAAAACATGTTTCGTATTTTATATGATATCTTCAACAAAATTTAAATTTAAAATAACTGGTTTTTAGATAGAATTTTTTTATAGGGACTAAACAATCAAATATTTATTTACTTATATAGATGTGTTTATTATACACTATTATTAAAGTTGTTGATATTTGATACAGATAAAAATACATTCAAAAAATCTTCTAATTTTATTAGTGGTGATGAAGACGAGGATGATTTATTTGAGAATTGAGAAAATGAGTATATCATAAAGGAAGGAGGAGATTATAACTAATTTTGATGTAATTTTAATGGAAAATTTTGTGAATTGTGATTATAACAAATTTGATTTATTTCTATGTTATTTTGTTATTGTCAAAAATTAGTAGCTTAAAGTTCTAAATCTTAACAATAATAAATATAAACGTTTTTTATAGTTTTGGTCGCTTCTCTTGTTTATGAATATAAATTTAGTTCTAGCTATCAAAAATTGAAATCAAGATTGGTTACAAAATTGTAATATTTTATTAAAACTAAGGTTGTGTTGCACTATAACATATTTTTTGGAAATTCTATAGGGTTGGCTGATTTTTCAGCCCTTAAATATTCGCAAACTCAAGGATTTCTCCTATACATTTTTTGCTCTTAAAAAACCACCAACAACTAATATTTTTCTCAATAAACCATCACATACTTTCGGATTCATCTCGATAAATACGCCTCCAGTTAGAATTAATTGACGTCGTTTTCACTAGTCTCTCTATGTCTCAAAACGAAGCCAAAACCACGTCGTTTTTGGATCGCGAGTTTGAGAAATTGAGAGAAGAGTGAAAACGACATCGTTTTTTTAGCGACTTATGGATAATCAGACGGGTAATCCTAATTGCGTTTACTGTACCGCGATTTATCAAGATGTTAGTTGGAGGCGTATTTATCAATTAATTCCAATTGGAGGCGTATTTATCAAGATGAATCCGAAAGTATGTGATGGTTTATTGAGAAAAATATTAGTTGTTGGTGGTTTTTTAAGAGCAACAAAAAATAGGGGGAATCCTTGAGTTTGCAAATAGTTAAGGGTTGAAAAATCAGCCAACCCAATTCTATACAAATAAATATGCACTCAAATAGATACTTAAAAAACAAAATATAGTTCAATTATGTTGCAATGAATACAGACCATTATATTAAAATGTATTAGTTGAGATATGATTGCTAAGAATCTCATGTTTAATCCGATTTGCATGTTTGTTAGTGTCTTATTAAGTAGACAAATGACACCTACTCATTAAGTAGACGAATGACATAGATTTATTACGCATCAGAATTCCTATTTGGTTTATATGTTTTAATTTTGCAAGTTAATTTACATAATGGATCTTGAATCTCTAGAGACGTTGGTAATGTTACATGTTAAGAGTAAGTATATGGATATGGACGAAAAAAATATTCAAATGGAATTGAATGAGAAAGAGACAATAATAGAAGCATTAGCTTAGGGTAAAATTGAAATTCAACAGCCAACTCAAACTCAACCAACTCAATGTCCACGTAAGAGACACAAAACTTCAACTATTAGTGGTGAATTAGTAAAATAAAAAATTATGGAATACATCACTAGAAAAAGTTAGAGATATATCTAAAGATGCCTACAAAAATAGATACGCCGGCTTATGATCAAATGATTAACCATGAGATGACTATTGAGATCATTATCTGCAATGATTTACCATTTAAATATGTTGAGTTTGAGAAAGTTAGAATGAGGGACATATATTTGAATCGAGATTGTCAATCTATTTGTAGACAAACAGATAATATATGTTGATGTATTTAGGAAATTTGAGATAGAAAAAGAAAAGCCGAAAGATGTCTTTTACAAAGCATCGAAGTCGGGTTTATTTTTTTTACTTTAGATTTATGGACGGGCGCATGTTATAGTGATATGATACATCTACTTGACTACACATTTCATTAATGATAGATAGAATTTATATAGTAAGATGTTAGGGTGATTTGTGATTTGAAATCACCACATACCGTTGAAAATATTGCTAATAGGGTTCTTGAGTGTTTGAAAGAATAGGGATTAGAGAAAAAATAGTATTTTCTAGCACATTAGATAACGCTAAAATAATGATACTATGTAGAAAATTCTTATAGATTGATTGCACTTGATGAATGGAGATAGTTTGTTATGTGATGAAAAATTTAAGCATGTGATATGTTGTGCCCATATTTTGAGCTTTATTGTGAAAACAAAAGTTTAGAATTAGCAAAAAAAATTTTATACAACATTTGCGAAAGTGTCAGATATGTGAAAGCATCTCAACAGAGGAAATAAGTTTTTATCTCTTGATGTTTATACATATTAAATGCTGGCTAGAGCGAGAAGCATTTGTCAGCATGGAAGATTTTGATACCAGTTTTAAACTTTGAGAGGATGAGTGGAGTCGCGGAGAAAAAATTTATAATCTGTTAAAGTCTTTTAGTGTCATCACTATTTTTTTTTTATGCTCTAAGTATCCCACATCCAGTCTATACTTAAGTATGGAGGATTGAGTTGTTGCTGAAGAAGTATGACACTTGTGGTGCTGATGTTTAAGACTAAATGGCTCAGAAGATTAAAGGTAAATTTTCTGAGTATTAAGAAGATTATAGTCTTATTTTGGATATAGAAGTTGTTTTAAATCTAAAACTAAAATTGAAGATGCTTGAAATAGCTTACAAAATAGTAGATCCTACTACTTGTCAGCTGAAAACTAAAGAGCTTGAAAATAATTTGAATTTGTTGTTTAGAGCTTATCAACTAGTTATTCAAGTGTTTCAACAACTCCACATGACATACTCATTGAATCTCTATTTTACAATGATTTTAATAGTGTATTATTGTTAACTACTCAATGCTGTATTAATGTATTTTCTATGTATAATTAGAATTTCATTATCAAAATCTTATTACGTGAGTATTAGTAACACAAGATCTCCTAGAGCTGGAAAGAAGTATTGAAGCTTGTTTGAACAACAAAATACACACTTGGATATTTATTTGGATAAGCCTAAGCTAGAATGGAAGTCTTTTCCGAATTTGGATGTCTTGAGCTACTAGAAAGATAATCAACATTGATTTGGCGATTTAGCTTCTATGGCATGCGACGTTCTTAGTATTTCAATTACTACATTAGCATCAGAGTCAGCTTTTAGCATTAGATCTAGGGTTTTGACTCCATACAGAAACCGCTTGCTTTAGGAAAATGTTCAAGCTTTACTTTGCACTCGCAATTGGTTACGTGGGTTTGCTGACTGTAAAGCAAATGCTTAAAATTGAGATATTTATAATTTAACTAATTTGTCTCAACTATTTTCATTTTAAATTGTATGTACCACAGACGATACTCCAAATTGTAACCATGGCGATGCAAGAAAAAGACGGCGAGTAGCTCGGAGTAGAAAGTTCAAGATCAACAGATTCAAGTGTCATGAGAAGTAAAAGTTTAGAAGTTAAAACATCTCTTTTGTTCGCATTACGTCATGACGTCTAGAAATTATTATCGTTATGAGTCTAAAAATTATTATCGTTATCACGTCTGTATTTTAAAACTATTCGTTCTCGTTAACTTCATGATCCCAATTCCATTACGATCCTATTGTCTTGGATTATTCAAGGGATCTAATGTATGAATTTTTGATTGTGTCCAATTTTATCGTACGGAGAAATCACAAAAAGAAATCTTACATATTATGACAATTTGTTATGTAATCAATAGACACAATTCTTTGGTTGTTTTAATAGTCTCAAAATTTCGATCCTAGGATCCGACTTATCTCTCTGGTTATAGTATTTGATGATTTCTCTTGATGTTTCTTGGTCGTGTGTACTGATAATTATTACACTTATTCCTTCATGGTCATTTTTGAGATAGGAATCAAATATTTCACTTCTCTTGTAATTGCTTCTATTCAAAGAAATGAAAAAAAAAACTAAAAGAAAGACGGTCTCACTCTTATCATTGAAAAACTCTTATCATATAGCATCAACATACAGTTTGAAGAAAAAGAAAAAGAAATAATCTTCTTCAAAGAGGAGGTGCGAGATGATAAACACATCGAATCACAAACAAGGAAAACAAATTTGTGTTTTGTCTAAGAAACATAGGCAGATGATTATCGTACAGCAAAGTAAGGCTTATATATGAGCTGAGTTAATCTTGTCAGAGATAACTGTGATACTGAGTTGCTTCGAAAGTAAGGTTTGAGGTTAGCTTACAGTCTTGGAGCTCATGTCACCATGGTTTTCTCTGCTTTCGAGGTTGTAGCAGAGTAAGGGTTCGTATGGACAAATCTGCAAATAAAGAGGGTCCATGTTGCTGTTATATGAAAACTAATGGTCAAACCCGTCTTTAGAAACTGATCAGATTGGAATTCACAAGAAATAAAGTAGGTGATTCATGGAGAAAGATAAAGTGTATATTTATATAACAAACACTGCAGATTTGCATACCTGTCCCGTCTTTTCTCAAGAAATCTTTGAAGCGAACGTCTCCTAGCAATTGGCACATCTGAGATAAACAGGCATTTTATTTAAAGCTCATGGGATTGACCATATTCAGACTATATAACGTTTATGGTAACCCAATGAAGCAAATCCTTACCAGCTGTCGATATGCAAGCCCCTGGTAAAGGTACTGTTGATGTGCTTGAGAAAGAAAGAGCTCTCTTCAATGCTTGATTGATACTTGTCAAATTCTTTGTATCAGTGGCTTTAGCAGCAGCAGCAATACGCAGGATTTCTTGAACCTATTAAGCGTTGATCAGCAAGAGAACAGAAAATCTGATGCAACCGCTTCCCAACAAAAACAAATCCAGAATGTACATAAAGCTTGGATGGAACAAACCTTTTCAGCTGGAATTCCATCAAATACGCTAAAACTCCCACCAAAGATAATAGTAAGTTGACTTGGAAGGATCGTTGAAGCATCTGGCTTTGTGGACCTTCAATAGAAGAAACAAGAGGATTGAAGACCCATTGAGTTAGTTATGAATGATGGAAGATAATCGACCCAAATTTTAAGAACTTATTGATGCAACAATGAGAAGAACAAAATAGCAACTCCATTACAATATTACAGCCGCTTTGGCTATCAACTAACCTCAGCCCCATAGAAACATCAGTTCAAGCAATCAAGTAAATTGAAATCATCTGCTGATGTCACGTAATAGATATAGAAGGCTACTTTTGCATTCAAGATTAACATCTTCGGAACAAGTTATTGTCAATTACAACATAGTATTACCAAAATCAAACACACAAGCCTAGTTCAAATTCAAGCTCATAAAACCTACACTAAAGATGGGCAACAACGTCTAATGTATCACTAAAAAATACACACAAACACTAACAAATCAGTGAGTAAAGATAAGTTTACATTTAACTTAACAAAAAAACTATACATACTAACAAATCAGATTCATAAACACAAACACTCCCAGAACTATCAATATGTTTATAAACAAAGCACTGAATATTTGCATACCTGTCCCGTCTCTTCTCAAGAAATCTTTGAAGCGAACGTCTCCTAGCAATTGGCAGATCTGAGACGAACATGGATTAATAGTCCGTATTCAGACTATATAACGTTTACGGTAACCCAATGAAGAAATTACTTACCAGCTACAGTTGATGTGCCTGAGAAAGAAAAAGCTCTGTTCAGCGCTGGATTTATACCGGTCACATTCTTTATCTCTTTAGCAGCAGCAGCGATGCGAATGATTTCTTGAACCTATAAGCATTGATCACCAATAAAATTAGAAACTCTGATGCAACCAACAAAAACCTCAAAGCTAGATGGACCAAAACCTTTTGTGCAGGAACACCATCGAACATTCTACAACTCCCACCAGAGATTATAGTAAGTTGAGTTGGAATGATCGTTGAAGCATCTGGCTCTGTGGACCTTCAATAGAAGAAACAAGATTGTTGAAGACCCATTTGAGCAACTGTTACCAAATCTATTGATAACAACAAATTTATGAAATTAACAAACAAATGACGATAACAAAAAACCTCTTGAGTTTCCCAAATTGATCTGCTAATATAACAATTCATATAGATCCTAGTCTCTTCAATTTCTCACGCTCCAATATGGGACAACGATTTGAAGTCACAAAATTGATCACATCGTAAATAGAAGCTCTTGTGTTATTGTGTACTATAGACTAACAAATCAGATTCATACACAGTAACAATGCCAGAACTATAGACTAAACACACAAATTCATACAAAAATGCAGATAAAGAGAAATGAGAATCAACGATTCCAAATTACCTAGCATCGTGAATCGGTTTCTCAATCTCAACCGACAAGTCAACTCCGGCGGAAACAGAACCGGTTCCGTCGTCGGAGAAACTAGGAACGAGGAAATCTCCATCTCCTCCTTCAACGCAAGCGCGTGGCTTCTCTTTTACCTCAGCCATGAGACTCTCTGTGAATATCTGTCTGTCTTCTCCGAATCTCCGTTTGATTGGCTCTCTTCTCCACGCAACGTTCGTTCTTCGGTGTTTTCAATTTTGTTCCCTTTTTTTTTTGTTTGTTTAATTTTGTATATTACGAGGATTAAAAAAAAACATCAAGAAGAATTCAAAACGTGCGTGAAAGCAATACGTCGTCGTTTGGGAGTTTCTTTTTGACAAACATGGAGTGGTTTAATAAGATTACGTGAGATGAGATACTCGGTAGCCGGTAGGTAACATGCACCCAATCTTTTCGGTTAACAAGAAATTTTTCTTTTTTTTTTTTTTTTTAGGCGAAAAAAAAAAAAAAAAAAGTAAATAAAAAAAATAGGATGGACGTATGGTTTTTGGGTTTGGTTTTGGTTCTACGGTTATCGGTTTTATAAAGACTAAAATTATATAGAAATTGTATGTGATTCGGTTTGTTACGGTTTGGGTTTTTTGGTTTTACGATTTATTAGTTTTACTAGATGATTTACCCGCACTATGTGCGGGGAGAAATAGTTATATGAAATATATAAATAATTTTTTGGAAATCGATTATATATTATCACTTGATATATAAGTATGAATATTTGAATACGATTTAGTAACTGATATATTTTGGAGATTTTATTAGTTAGGAATTAGGATATTCCATATTTGGAATAAGATTTTAAATTAAAATATTGACCAAAGTTTTTTTTTGAAATATCATTCCTATAATTCTGAAATATATTCGAGTATTTTTTGTATTTTAATTAAGATTTTATTTTGGAAACAATTCAATATAAAAACTGAAAAGAGTATGAATAATTATTTTTTAAACGTAATAAAATTTTATTATCCTTTATTATTCTTGATAATTCTATGTAGTTAGGACTGATTTATTGCATATCCCTCATTTTATGAATCAATTTATATTGTTACGATAAGGTATTGGGTTGTAAATAAATTGTAACTAAAATGAGTAAATGACTAATTAAATTGTATAAACCGTGTAAAAGTTTTAATAAATTGATAAGGTAAAAATTTGAAAAGAAATAATATTGAAAATAATGAGTAAGCGGATACATTTTTAACATATATTAATATTGAAATATTGTTCATAGTGAATGTGTAATAAATGAAATGTTACTAACTAATTTATGTAAAACTATGTTCCAAATATATTTAAGAAACATATGGGCTCACATATACATTTAGATGTTTTGTAATTTATAACAAAAAATAGAATGTCATATATGTTAAAATTCTAAATGTTTTTTATAAAACATATAAAAAATATAAGTACAAAACATATAATAAACATTAATATTATATATTGTTCATCATGATTTATGCTATATATTTTTTACTTGTTTCGTAATATATATAGTTTTTATTAATTAATTTCCTTTATTAATTGCTAATCTCTTAAATATAGAGGAAAAATATGCATAAGTACCACTAATGGCATTATATGTAATTAGTCTAGTAAATATTGGATAATTATTAAGTTTGCTGAGAGTTTCTCTGGTTGCGACATGTCAGCATGGCAGTCTTGTAAATCCCACGTGAAGGTAAGGTTTTTTTATTTTAAATGCTTCTCAATTAATATATAGGGGATATATAACTAATGAAATCATATGAAATTCGGTTCGGTTTAAATTATTTTCGGTTTATTTCATGACTTTCAAAAAAAATAACATTAGTATTTTTATGTTGAATGTATCATCCTTGATTTATATTATATGAACCGCACATTTCAACATATTTTATCAATTAAACGTTAAGTATAATATTATTATGAATTATAAAAAAAAATTTCAGAGTATAATTTCCTTTTCTCAAACACGTATTGCTATAAAATTTATTAAAAACCAACATTTTTTTGTCTTCTAACAACATTAGATTAAAAAAAATTGATCCATGTAGCTTATATCATCAACAAGAGAATAATATATTGTAAAATTGATTAAATACTAACCAAACATATGATATTATAATAAAAGTGATAAACTCAATAACCAAACGGTTTTACGATTGTAAACCGAGCCGAACCGAACCGAAACCAAAATATTTTAATAATTGTATAACCAAACGAGTTTTTTGGAGGAAACAAAAACCGAACCATATAACCTAATTACGGTTTGGTTCGGTTCAGTTTTTTGTCTACCTCTAAACAAAATGAAAGTGTATTTGAACTAGTGGCTAATGAAACTAGGAGAAATGTATGTATACATCAATACCGGATTTAACAAAGTGCACCAATAAGGAAAGAAAAAGAAATCCAAAATTTTAACTGAAACTATTTGCAAACTTAGTATTTGGGGATGGTTGTGCTAACCAATGAACTTAAAGGTGGAGTGATCCTTAAGTTTGATTCATAGATACAAATATTTACAAAATTAGGAAATTTTTGAGCCCACAATAGAATTTAGTCGTTGCAAAAATGGGATAGTGGGGGTGTCGACGTAAAGTTTTAGTCAACCAACCAAAGCATTAAAAGATGATCATATCTCACATGGGGCCTTATAATCCCAAAGCTTTAGCGCGGACACTTTCTCATTTCTCTTTTGAAAATCAATGTATCTGGATTTTTTTTTTTTTTTTTTTTTTTTAATGTATCTGGTTTTCTTACTCTCTTTTTTTTTTTCCATTTTCTTTTCCACAGTTTCTTTTGTTTATATGATATAATAGTGGTTTGTATCATCAAATAGTGAAGCTCTAATTGTTGATAAAAAGAAAAAAAAAAAAAAAAACATTGAACGATAAGTGCTCTCTAGGTGCCTCCATGAGAAGACTAATAGGGGTTTGTTTTTGATATTATACTAATCATAGTATGCAAGTGCTCGGTACTTCTCTTGTAGAATCTTATTGGGTGTCGATATCCTAGTTTATTATCAGGTTTTGAACGACTTTTAGTTTGCGTCTAACGGTGATCTTCTAATCATAGTGAATATTGTAACTAAAAAAAAAAGATAGGTGGAAACAAACAGGTAGAGGAGCACTGAACATGTTAATCCATGTAAAACTAATGTTAAACTATTTGATCAACATGCGATTAGGGAGACAAGAGAGCCTAAAAAACTAACTATTTCTATAATATCATTGGCCAAACCTTTTTCGGACCGGTTGTCAATTGATAAAATCTCAAGAACCCTAACAAAAGGACCCAAATCTATCTCAGTTTAACCAATATATGCATCATATTAGGCCTACATGTTATACCAAAGATTGTGTGATATATTGCCGATCTAATTCACGCAATGAACACATAGAAATGAATCATACACAATCATGGAGGCTAATTTCAAAAGATAAAACGTTCCGGAGAAACTTTCTAAACTCAAGGAAAATAAAAATAGAAACGAAAAAATTCAAAAAAATGAAGGAATTGAGAAAAGAGTTGTTTTCATAGAAACAACGAAAAAATAAAGGGAGGAGAGAGTTCTTTTCATTATTTAAAAAAATAAATGACTTAAAAAGACAAAGGAAAAACTATTTTATTTTATAAACTGGCTGTGGACATGTGGTGGACATGCATGCATGCATGTCACATAGACAAAGCTTCAATCGGATACAAATCACAATGGAATGAAAGAGGCTACTAAAGTCAATGATGCAAAGTGGTGGAAGATTTTGGGCATTTGCAAATATGCCTTTTTCACATATATATTAGGTTTACAAGGAAAAAATTAAGGTATGACATTTGGAGGTTGAGCATTTGACATGAAAATTTGACATGAAAGTTGAAGTAATGGAATCTGAGTAGGATTGTTAGGAAATTGATGTGTCAGATTGGGACCACCTTGTCTTTTATAAGTTAAACATCATTTTTGTTAGTAGACGACATCATGTGTCATGTGCATGTGGAAAGGATTTGTCCCGTTTCTTATTTTTTTCCTCATAATCAAGGACTATCATTATAAAGTTAAATCGTTCTCTAATTCTTCTTTTTATATCCATTATAAAAGTTGAATCCTTCTCTAATACTTCTTTTTATATCCTACTAATACTTCATTGCATACATCATTGCAGTCTAACCATTAAAAAAATAGTGAGGCTTACGTGAATTTCTAAAGTAAAACCGAAAAACAAAAAGCAAAACCAGTGTGTTATAAATGGGTTGATATCAATATAAGAGCATCAGCAGTGGGGCAAGTGGATGGGTATGTGTTAGTGGGGTTTTATTAGTAAAATAATGTGATTCATCTTTTTCTTTCCCATGGCAAGCTTTCTCTTCAGATCCTCTATTTCTCTTCGCGTCTGTCCTTCCTTCTGCTTCCAAACAAACACCAGAGATGAGATTTCGCATGGCAATTTCGGAGTTACAGATCGAATTGTAGCAAAATCGATTCCAATCGGAAGAAGGAAAGAAAGAAGGATCTAACCTCGCCGGCGGTGTCGGTTGTGCGGGATGACGCCAATGAATAGAGGAGCATCATAGCTCTTGCGCATCGGATCGCAGCTCGATCTCGGGAAAATTCGTCTCTGCTCGTCATCGTCTCCCTTCGTCTCTCTCTCTCTCTCATAAAACAGAAAGAAAAAATCGAGACCACTCACAGGAAGACACGTGTGGCTTACATCCGAGTCTAACTTTACACTCGACTTCCGACTCCAACACAACTATTCTCTTATTTTCATATTTTTTATTATTCACACCCTTGTAAAAGGTTTACCACTGCCCATGGTCTAATGTCTATCACCACAATTGATTTATTTATTTTTTAATTAGCTATTGCTCTAATTAATATTTAAATCTCAACGAAGATGCTACTATACGTAAGATTATTTTAATAATAATGAAAAGATGCGACCTAAGCCTAAGTATTTGAAAAACATTAATAACATTACGACTCAATATATAATGCCATATATCAAGCATATCTTTTTTTTTTTTTTTGGTAAAAGTATCAAGCATATCTTATATAATACTTTCTTAACAATGAATTTATGCATGAAATACCACAAAAATATTTCGATTTTAAATTTGTATTGTTTAATCATTCTACTTTTTTTGTTAAAATATAATAGATATAGTAATGAAAATCAAAAGAAGACCAAAGAAGTTATGTGAGTTTGTGAGATTGTGATAATAAAAGACTATAAAGTATATTTCTTACATGAGAACATAAAAAGTACATTAATATATATGTAAACAAAACAAGGCGTAATCGTTAAGGCAATAAGCCACAAATGGACTTACAAATTTAAAGGCTTATGTGACCAATTGCTCCTAAAAGATAACCAACGATAATGATACTAAAATATGTTACGTCAAAATGTCTTTTCTTTTTATATATGTTTCTCTTTTTGGGTGGTTTGGTAAAAGGAAGAGAAAAAGAAACGATTATGATCGTCTTTTATTCCTCACCGTCTCTCTCAATCTCTCATGCAACCAAATATTGCAAGCCCGACTAGCACAGACTGTGACACGAACGCCACTAACCCAACGTCACCTTCTCCTGTTCTTTTTTTCATATATTTCACTTTAGTCCATTCTCTCTAGTTGCTCACAACTGTCTTCAATTCACCTAGATATTTTTAGATTCTTATCTCTTCACCCTAAACTCTTTTTGATTAATCCTATGAGTAACATTTAATTTTATAAATGTGTTCAAGGGTTTATATTCCACTTCATATATACAACTACATGTAGGGAAGGGCATTCCGGTTTATATATGGTGTGATTTTTTTAGTTATTTTCGTTATCGGTTTAATAAAAAATAAAACCATAATAAACCATATGTACGTAATTTGGTTTGGTTACAGTTTAGTTTTGGTTTTACGGTTACCGGTTTTATAACCATATCCAATTTGGTTTTAAAATCCCAAAAAAAGAAGAGTATTACAGTTTTAAACCGAACCAAACAGAGTTTCGAAAGAAACCGAAATCAAACCGAATCAACTAGTAATTGTTCGGTCGGATAAGGTTATTCTTCGACTTTACATTTGATGTATATGAATGTAAATAGAGTACAATATATAGAAACAGCCTACATATAAGATCAGTACAATGTATAGAAACCGAGATCCTCTCAATATAAAGAGACTATGTACGTAACAAAGTTTCATTACATTGAATAACAGAACCTTATCCAAACTTTAACATTCTCCTTTTACTCAATTTCAACTAATTAACAGTTTGCATGCTTTGAATTTTCAACTATACTATTTATTTTATGGATAAAAAGCAAATTAAATTTGACTGATTAAGTTTTCCAACATTTACAGCTGAATAAAAAAAAAAATCTCTATGCAGATTCTTTATTCTATAGATTAAAATATGTGGATACAGATAAGCATAACAGAAAATTTGACACCGAAAGTTTGTAATGGAAAAACAATTGTAAATAAATATAATTCTTTTGCAAAAAGAAAATAATAACTTAAAAAAAGAAGCCACTGACACTAATGAAAAACCAAACCATCACCACCTTTAATTTGCCTTTATAAAGACATTTGGTTCTAACCTCTCTTCCTCCCTCTTCCTCTTCTCTCTGGCTCCAAGTTTTCACAATGACTTTCTTCATCGAAGACACTAGTCTCATCATCAGCCACGTTCTCTACAAAACGGCGGTTATCATCGCCGTTTTACGATGGATATTCGCATGGATCCTCCGTTACCGCTCCAGATCATCCTCCTCCTCCTCCTCCTCCTCCTCTTCTCCTTCCATTTCATCGCAAACAATCAAAGAAAGCCTCGCTGTAACAGCGTTTCGCGACGCGGTGGAGAGATCTCCCGCGACGATAAACGACACGTGCGCAGTGTGTCTAGGAGATCTTGAAGACGACGACGAAATCAGAGAGCTTAGGAACTGTAACCACGTTTTTCATCGTGATTGTATTGACCGGTGGCTAGATTATGAATGTCGCGGTGGTGATGAGGATAACCACCGTACTTGTCCGCTATGTCGAACACCGTTGCTTCCGTCGTTCTCTGATTGCTCCACCGTTAACCAACCTAGCTGGGCCGTTGAACGACTTCTTTACCTCTTCGGCGACGATCTTCTTCCCTGATTTTTTTTTACTATAAAAAATTTGATTTCATTTTTTCTAATGAAAATTGTAAGGTGGAGGAATAGAATAGGAAATATAAGAATGATTGATCTCAATTATACGAAATCGAATCAATTTGATTTGATTGTATATACAAACTAGATCATGATACAGCACGGGATTTAATATTTTTCATGAATTAAATTGTATATTTTGTTCGAAGAAATAAGGAATAATTTAGTATAATAATATAATATAAAAGGGAATATATCATAATATTTTATATTTATTACTATTTGGATATAATGTTATATATTTTATTTGACTAAAGAAGGAGAGAATATTGTATTTTAGAATTTAATATATTTAGCAGAATTAGATTTGTATTTTTTTATATGAGATTAATAATTTCTTTGGTTCAATTAGGAATTGATAATTTTATTGTGTGATTGTGAACAAACAAAAAAATAGTTGTATTGGGTCTAAGTTTTTTAATGGATTATATTGGGTTTGTGGGGCCTAGTTTCATGGTTTAAAAAAAAGAAAAAAAAACGGTTTAACATACCTTTGGAATTTGCTGATCTGTTCCTATTTGATGTCTGCTTGAATTTTGTTAACCTGTAATTAAAATAAGATGACTTAAAACTTACGGCACATATATTACAAAGAGAATTGTATAAAATTTCAATGGTACTTACATGCTCATCTTTCAAAATCATTTTCAAAGATATGCCAGAACCTTTTGTAAAATGAATCCACGAATGAAATATACTAACTTGAATACAGCAAAAAGTCTTGACATGCTTCAAATTGTTAATAGGAGTGTAGGGACTAACCATAGCCATTTCTGCTGTATTTTTAATTGTAGGATATGAGAATGGTGCTGAGATGATTTCTGTGAGAAAGGTACGTTAAGCCTAAATGGATATTTATAGTTGTAGATTGTTTGTGATAATTAGGAGATTCAGAAATATATTAATTAGCATAAAATAGTTAGATAATATTTTAGAAAGGTATATTCTAGATTATTTGGAATATAGGATCAAAATTATATAACAGAGAGATTTGACAATCTTTAGAAAAGATTTTAAGGAAACTGAATAGCTGATTATATTGATGCGTGATTAAACTAAACAAAAAACGTAAAACTAAACAAAAAACGATCTAGAATATAACAACAATTATAACTTATTTTTTTTATAAAAGGTTTTAAGGAAACTGAATATATTCTCAAAGATTTTAGGAAAACTGAATATATTCTCTAAGATTACGAATTGCTTGAATACGAATTTATATCTAAACAAAATATAACAACCTAATATCTTTAAGATCTTTAAACCCGTTTTTCGTTATTTGACCCGTTTTTTTAATTAATTTGTTAATGTTAGTGACATGGAATTAAAATGATTATGATTAGAGATATCTAATGGCATATATTATGATTTCTTACAAAATTAACGTTACGACTTATAGGATATACTTCCCAAATAATAGTATAGGATTTGCCTTATTAGTTTGAATTGATTTTATTATTTACGAAATCTCCCTAATTAATTAATTACAAAATTATGTGATTATATTGTTTAGATAGTATAATTAAACCCGTCTGATGACCCAATGAAATTGATGATAACAGATGTTTAGGAAACTGAAAATATTGTCAATGATGATAACAGATGTTTAGGAAACTGAAAATATTGTCAAAGATTACGAATTGTAGTTAAAAATAAATTTTGTTTAGTTATAAGAACGTAGACACATTTTCAATTTTTAGTAACATTTTCAAAAAATGAAGAATTATATAACATTTTCAATTTATATAACATTTTCGAACTATATGAGTATTATAATTCAAAATAGCATTTTTTATTTTTTATAAATTGGATTGATATAAAATGTTTTCAATGATATATCATTTTCATTAACATTTTCAATGACATTTTTTATAAGATGTTCGAATAATGGATTACTATATAACAAATTGAATAACATTTTTAATTTTCAATAACATTTTTGAATAATATATTAGTATATTAGTATATAACATTTTTATATATTATATAAACAAAATCTTTTATGTATTATATAACATTTTTATGTATTATATAACATTTTTATGTATTATATAATCTCGAATATTGATTGGTATATAATATTCTCGAATTATATTAATTATGTATTATATAAACAAAATCTTTTAATATCTTTAAACCTGTTGACCCGTTGACCCGTTAATATATATTAGTGACATGGAATAAATTTTATGATTAGGATTATATAATGGCATATATTGTAATTTCTTACAAAATTTAAGTTATGATCCTTAGGATGTACTTCCCAAATATTAGTATAGGATAATTAATTTTAGATCTAATTTCCTTATCATATTTGGTTAATTTTATTATAGGAATTAAATGTTGTTAAATCTTAATTTGGTTGAAAACATGACTTGGTAATAAATAAGGAGAGAATATTGTATTTTTGAATTTAATATATTTAGCTGCATTAGATTTGTATTTTTTTAATGAGATTAACAATTTATTTAGTTTAAGTAGGTATTGATAATTAGAGAATAAACATAAAATTGTTGTATTGGGTTTAAGTTTTTTAGTGGGCTATATTTGGGTTTGTTTGGCCCAGTTTTATGGTTTTTTTTTTTTTAAAATTATATTTTGTGCTAATCTTTAACATAAACCCTAATGTTGTATCCCTATATATATGTTGTATTTGTACAATTGATCAATAACAGAAAGAACAATCCCCAAAACCCTATTATTTACAACACGAAACTAAATATCTTGAAATGAAAAAATGGTTATATTTATTAACAAAATCTCGATTAATATATGAGAGGTTTTTGGATTCAACAATTTTTTTTTATGACTTGGAAGTTGAAAAAGAAGAATTTAAAAAAAAAACAGAATATCTATTTTCATACCATTCAATAAGGGGTGAAAAAGTTAAATAAGGGGTTACTGATATTCTATTTTTTTTGTATAAATAAATTTAAATAAGTTAAACAGAATATCTATCTATTTTAAAAATACTCTGAAAAAATAGATTTCAACTTTGTCATTTAGAAAAAAAGACAATCAAAATATAAGGGGTGAAAAATTTAAATAAATAATTGACTAAAAATTAGTTGTTGGCATTTAGGAAAAAAATCAGAAAAGGTACCAAAAACATTTTCTCTTGACTTAGGCCAACCGCCGCCGTTTCACCATGGAGTCTCCGGCAATGTCCAATGACCCGTAATAGTTATGGTTCCTACAATTATGTAGAAAGAATTGGTAAATAAACAATAATAAATGAAACATTTAATTAAGAGGGTTAGAACAATACTATTACGTACGTGTATACAATACATCACACATAGACCATATTGCATTTGTTTTACTGTAAAAGAAACGCATTGAATCATTCACAATTACGTTTCATAGATTTTTGGTATCAAATTCTCTCATAAAAAATACATGCCTTTGGTTTACCTTTAAACGGATCATAAAACAGTTTTCAATCGTTCTCCAAACAGCTTCCCATGTTCCTCTGTGTTATATATCAGCCCTTGCGTCTTCATGAACCACCACAATCTCCCTCTTAGATGTTTTACGCTTCACATCAATGTCATAAGTATAAGTGGAGTTTTTATCTGCAGTGACAAAAGAAAAAATAATATTATTAACTTTATTTTGGCACACAAAACCTTAAATCAAACCGAGTTAGCTTGAAATAACTTCATTTATAGAGAGATAGCTTGTACATAATTTAGGTTTAGCCGACTAATCTAGATATATTTAACTACTAAGATCTTAACAAATATGGTGATTTTGTTATTAAATTTAAAAAACTATCCTTATATATAACTAAATTTATGATTGAAAAAGAAAAATCTTTGATTCCCATAATATACGGAATTATAAGTTGCAAGATTCATTACGATTTGAATTTTTAAAAATCAAAATTATGTTCAAAAATAAATTTTTGTTTCCTTAACTACAAAATCTTTACGTGGTTAACAATTTTTGAAAGATTTTAGATTTAATAGTTAATGATAACTATATTTTAGGAAAATTCGAATATTTTGTTGACTTTTTAATTGGTGTTTGTTGTAGTTGCTTAACACAGGGGATTTGAATTTGCGTTTTGAATCTATTCGAATAAATATACAATTGTTATGGCAAGTACTAAGATTTAGGATGCTATATTTATTTCTGATTTAGTAAATTAAAAATATCATTTCTATATGTATTTATCTTTGCTAATCTGCGAAGTACACGTAAACAAAATTTTTGAGACAATCCCGATTCAGAGATTTTAGAAATATCTATTAATATATTATCAAATTTAATTAGTTTACATATATACAATTTCGTTTTTTTCTTCCATATATACTAATCATAATTAATTAGTATAGTTTAGTTAAGAAAATATTTTAAAATCTAAACTAAATTTCGTTGTATGATTAAAAATTATTTGTATCTAAACAAAATCCATGTTTGTTATATTCGTGATTGGCTTCCTATATATTAGGTAATCTTTTAATATCTTTAAACCCGTATGACCCATTGACCCGTTTTCTAATGAATTGGTTAATATTAATGACATGGAATTAAAATTTATATAACATTTTCAATAACATTTTCGAACTATATGATTACTATAATTCAAAATAACATTTTCTTTATAAATTCGATTTATATAAAAAAATTTCAATGATATATCATTTTCAATAACATTTTCGAATAATGGATTAGTATATAACATTTTTGAATAATTTATTAATAACTTAGAACGTTAATATATGATTACTATAATTCAAATAACATTTTTTTTTATAAATTTGAATTATATAACATTTTTTTGTATAAATTGGATTATATATAAACAAAATCTCTTTAATATCTTTAAACCCATTTGACCCGTTGACCCGTTAATATATATTAATGACATGGAATAAAATGATTATAATTAGAATTTTCTAATGGCATATATTGTAATTTCTTACAAAATCAACGTTATGATCCTTAGGATGTACTTCCCAAATATTAGTATAGGATGTTACATTCCAGTGTGTATTAATTCTCTTTTTCAGATAAGTGTCTAAAGTTGATTTTTTTTTCTTTCACATTTTTAATGGGAAAAACGGGAGTATAAACCCTTCATTTTTTTTTTTAATTTAATCATTTAATACCCAAAAAATTTAGATGGAAACTTGAGATAAATATATTTTATTTTTAAATTGTTAGTGAATTCAAATCTTCGACTTAATAGCTATTAACGGACGTTACAAAATCATTTAACGAGCGTTACAAAATCATTTAACGGCCGCATCTTCTTCGACCAAACCAAGCTTACAACGAAGCAGGTGCTCTTCTTTTGCTGATTGGGTTTGACATAATGGGTCTTTATCGTCCTGACGAAAATGATATAGAAAAGAAGAACAAAGTGACATTGGCCCATATGCTACACTTCTACATATCTACAAAAGATAAGAGAAAATGATAGTTGGTGAGACAAGACTAAAAGGGAAATTTCTCGAAAAAGAGAAAGTTTAAGCTTTCTTCTTCCTTCTTATTGTATCTTTTGATCGTTGTTATTTTTGTGCGAAATCTGTAAAACCAAAACAACATCACAAGTTAGTGGTATTTATAACCTCTTTGGTATAGTGAAACTTGGGAGAAAGAGGTCTCCCATGAGACGTAGCAGTTAGAGGCCGTGAAATCGGTTATCAAAATTATGTTGTTTATTTCGCAAGCAAGCATACTTACATTTAACTCCACAAGTGGTATCAGAGCTCCAGGCTTGGTGTACGGTTTCATAGGAGCTTCAAGTCAAGGGTTACAAGAAGACAATATATGAGTAACATTCGGGTCGAGATGGACATATTTGATGGAACCGGTGACTTCTACTTGTGGATAATCAGACTGTTGGTATTCACTTTGGCTAATTTTCCACTTCTTTTGTTAGTATGTGTTTCTTATTTCTATGCCTAGAAACAGAGCCGACCCTAGGAAAGAGGGAGCCCAAGCAAAAAAATTTTTTTTGTTGGGTTTTATAAATAAATTGTTTAATTTGACACCAAAAACTTAAAATTTTAAGAAAAGAAGGCCTATTTTTGCAATAAAAAATATTTTTGGGGGCTTAATTTTGCAACAAAATTTTTGAGGGCCCCAAACAATTGTTTCATGTTTCAGGGACGGCCTGTCTAGAAACCAAGTGATCTAAACCCATGCAAGGTTCTTTTGAAATTATGATTCATATTAATATAACGTATTTCTTATCGATTTTCGACTGGTGGTTTTTGGTAACATTTACATTATTTAAGAAACAAAATGTAAAACAAACTTCAATCTTTTTGAATTTATATCCAACATTCTCATTTAGTGAAGAGTTTCTGATTATGTAAACTTTGGTTTGTTAAACTGACCAATACAACCTAATTACTTTTCAAAATAATTATAAGTGGTATTTAAATTTTACAAATAATAAATTCGGCTATAATTAATTGAAAAAATATAATTTTTTTGATCATACATAAAACATAATATAAAATGATAATACATGAAAATAATTTTAAGAATCGTAAGACACATGAATCTGTACGTAGTATAGGTACTCATCTAATATACAAATAACTAGATGATGATTTATTTTTTAAAGTTAGTATAAATAAAATTTTGCAAATTGTATCTCCTTATCAAATATTTATATTTTATAGTTGACCATTGTTATTAAGTAACGATATACCACGAGTCCACGTGAAAATTGTTAATAAACTGAAGATTTAATCCATATTAAAGCGATATGTTAATGATATTTTAAAATTTTATAAATATTGATTTAAACCCATCCACCATATAAATCCGTTCCGAAATATAACCGTCCCGTAATTTTTTAACCCGTCCCGTGATTTGTTTTCTAAAAGTAGTGATTTTAAAATTTAATGATTATTTATTATATATTAAAGTTTACAAATTATATTATTTTCTAAGATATTTATATTTTAATAAACTAAGAATTTAATTTGTATTAAAACGGCATGTTAATGATATTTTAAAATTTTATAAATATTGATTCAAACTTGTCCACTATATAACCCCGTTCCGAAATATAACCCGTTTTATAATTTTTTAACCAGTCCCGTGATTTGTTTTCTAAAAGTAGTAATTTTTTAAATTTTATGATTATTTATTATATATAAAAGTTTGCAAATTGTATCATTCTCTAAGAAATTTATATTTTATAGTTTAAAATTGTTGTTAAGTAACATTATACCACGAGACAATTTTTGGTTTTATACAATCTTTTCCAAATGAGACTGATTTGATATGTCTAATATTTGTGGTATTAAAAAAATTAAGGATTTAATCCGTATTGAAGTGGCGGATAAATGTTACTTTAATTTTTTTTATTATTGTTGATTCAAAAACCCGTCCCGCAAAAAAACTCATTTGTTTTATTAATGTTGATCTGATTCTGAATCATTGTCTAAATATTTTAGTCGATGTGGAACGTTGAACACACATTTTTCGTCAATTGGATAATATATGTCCGGTTTTAAAATTTTGAATCACAGTATATGCAAAAAATTGATTTGTTTTACTTTATGTATTATATGATGATTCAAAACAGTTAAAAACAAATCGACAAAGATGATATGAGAATCACAATTCTAAATCTTTATCAAATTTTCTAAACATCTAAATTATTAAATATGAAATATCCGGTGTATGAGTTGGGTTAAATATAATCTTACCCAACAAACTTTTTATGACCAAATTTGTAAACGGTTCGGATACCCATTATATCCAAATGCATTTTGGCCCATCCGCAAAAAATGTACTTAAAAAATATTAGTATAGATATAACCTAGTCTACCTATTGGAAGTAAAGAAAACTTAAATTTCTTTTTTAAGGATTTCATCTAAGTTTCTCTTTTTTGGGCTTAAGTCTCTCTCTTTGATTTAGAGTCTTTCATTGTAGAGCATTTGGTCCGGTTATCTTTTCGGTTTAGTAAATCTGAGTTGGAAAAGGGTTATTTCGCGTCTTATTTCCACAAATTATCCAATTCGTGTTGTGTTTGTGAGCCTTTTGTTTAGGGTTCATAGCAGCCGCCAAGGTTTTCGAAGGGTTTTCAAAGGGGAAGTTAGATCTGTTAGTTTTTTCGGTGAAGAATGTCGGCAAGCATTGATCGTGCGTTGATGGCTCTGTCCTTGCAAGAAGAAGCTGAGCCATTCGTGATGCCGGATCTACCTGAGTTCTGCTCCAGCGAAAAGAATGTGTTAAGCATAATCGGTCGGCTTCTCAATCCCGATTGTCAGAGCATGTCAAGTTTGATTCTAAATATGCCGAGGAAGTGGCAATTGGTAGGAAGAGTTAGGGGAGTGGCTTTGTCCCAGGAGAAGTTTCAATTTATTTTCAAGCATTCGCATGATATGGAAACTATTCTGGAAAGAGGGGTTCACACTTACAACGAGTGGGCTATTGCAATTGATAGGTGGGTTGAGAATCCGCCGGCGGACTACTTGCAGTACATTAGTGTTTGGGTTCAGATAAGAAATATTCCGGTGAACCACTACACTGTTCAGGCGATAACGGCGTTGGGAGGTCTTGTTGGCAAAGTGAAGGAAGTCATACTTGATCCGACTAATCCTCAAAACCAAGACTTTGTGAGGGTCAGAGTCATTTTCGATGTTTCAAAACCATTGAGAAGAGCAAAGATTGTTCAGTTCAAAGGAGTTCCAATCAACATCCTGTTTGACTTTGAGCGGGTTCAAAAGCGTTGTTTCACTTGTCAAAGGCTCACGCATGAGCAAGGGAAGTGTCCAATTCTGCTTAACAAGAAGGAGGAAGAGTTGTTAGGAGGAAAACAAAAGAAGAGTGGCCTTTTTCCGGTTCCTGAGAAGATCATAAAGGAGTCTGATATTCTTTTTGGTGTTCTGGAGGAGCATCAAGTTGGTTTAAATCCAGCCACAGGTAAACCGAGAATTGCTCCTGAGGTGATTGTTGGTATGCGTCAATACTTATTGGTAGCAGAAGGAGCTGAGAGGGTTGCAAGAGTGGAACGTATTAAGAAATCTTTGGAAGACTTGAAGAACAATCCCTTAGGTGAAAAAACTTGTCTTAGGCTGGAGCAGCCTCCTGTGGTCTCAAGAGATATTTCTAAAGGCAAAGGGATTGTTTTTCAGTATAAGAATCTTTCCCTTGAGCCAAAGGCAGGAGTGGAGGTTTCAAAAGTTCTGAAGGCTGGGTGTTCTAAGAGTTTGGAAGAGAAAGAGTTGGTTTGGGATGCTTCTGGTGCAAAAGGTCTATATGGGTGCGGAAGGGTCTTGCTCTTCTTTTAGGTCTGAACCATCTTTGGAAGGTTTAACGGTATTAAAAACTGGCCTCTCTGAGGATAGTTTTTCCGGGACCTTTCTAAAGAATGGGAAGCCTAGGAAAAGACCTTTCAAGAGTAGAAGACGTAAGAATGTGCAGCCAGTGATAGGGATTGGGGGTAAGGAAGTGATGCAAGAGTTTGACAAAGTTCAAGAGACTCGGGCTGTGAGGAAAGAGAGGTTGGTGTATAAAAGAAAAGCCACTGATGAGGCTCAAGTTCCATCAAAGGTTGCTAAAGGCGACAACAATGAGATGGTCCCAAAGGAGTGACTGTCCAAGTGTTAATGAGCATTCTTAGTTGGAATTGTCAAGGCTTGGGCCGTGCACATGACTTGACAATGTCCAGACTCAAGGAGATTCGTAAAGAGTTCTTCCCTGAGTTACTTTTTCTGATGGAAACTAAGAACTGTAGAGATGTGGTGGTTGATTTGCAAGAGTGGTTGGGTTATGAGAGGGTTTATACTGTGAATCCTGTTGGGTTAAGTGGAGGTTTGGCTCTTTTTTGGAAGAAAGGAGTAAGTGTAGATATTAAATATGCTGACAAGAATCTTATTGACCTGTTTGTACAGTTTGGTTCTGTGGAGTTTCATGTTTCTTGTGTATATGGTGATCCTGCTTTCAGCTCAAGGCCGCTTTTGTGGGAAAGATTGTCGAGGATTGGAGTGCAGAGTAAAGAAAGTTGGTGCATGGTAGGAGATTTTAATGCCATCATTCATAATGGAGAGAAGTTAGGGGGTCCTAGAAGAGGGGATGCTTCTTTTCTTCCTTTCAAAGAGATGCTGCATACTTGTGGAATGACTGAACTTCCAAGTCAAGGGAATAGTTTCACTTGGGGTGGAATGAGAAGCAACATGTGGATTCAGAGCAAACTTGACAGGTGTTTTGGTAACAAGAGATGGGCTGCGCAGTTTCCTATTGCGAATCAGACTTTTTTGGAGAAGAGGGGTTCTGATCATCGTCCTGTTCTGGTACGGTTGACTACTACTAAAGAGGTGTACAGGGAAACTTTAAGTTTGACAAAAGGTTTCTAAACAAACCTGATGTTAAAGAGGCTGTCCAAAGAGCTTGGAGAAGTGGTAACAGGAATAGTAGTGAGTTAGTTTCAGACAAGCTGAGGCTATGCAGAAAAGAGTTAAGCAAGTGGAAAAGGAAGAATAAGCTGAATGCTCTTAGTCGGATTACTCAAGCGCAGGTCAGTCTTGAACAGGAACAGTCTTCTGGATTCCCTTGTTTGAGACTGGTAGCTGGTTTGAAAAGAAAACTGTGTGAAGCCTATAGAGATGAAGAGGTTTTTTGGAGGCAAAAGAGTAGACAAAAGTGGATGAAGGGAGGTGATAAAAATTCCCAGTTTTTCCAAGCTTCTGTGAAGGCTGAAAGAGGAAAACAAAGGTTGGACAAGCTGCTGGATATTAATGGGATTAAGCATACTTCTGAAGCTTCAAAGGGTTCCATAGCTCAGGCGTATTTCTGTGACTTATTCAAGTCCTCTAACCCGGGGAATTTCCAAGAGTTGTTTGATGGGTTTCAGCCGAGGGTCAATGAGGTGATGAATAATGCCTTAGTTGCTAAAGTGTCAGATAGGGAGATAAAGGAGGCTGTTTTTTCAATCAGGCCATCTAGTGCTCCTGGTGCAGATGGGTTCACAGGTCTGTTTTTTCAAAAATACTGGTCTGTTATTGGGGTTCAGGTTACTTTAGAAATACAGAGTTTTTTCATCAATGATCAGTTTCCCTCTGAATGGAATTATACTCAGCTCTGTTTATTGCCTAAAGTGGTGAATTCTGATAAGATGTCTGATCTAAGGCCCATTAGTCTGTGTTCAGTCTTGTACAAAACAATCTCAAAGGTTTTGATTAGAAGGTTGCAGCTTTGGCTGGGAGAGATCGTCTCGCCGAATCAGTCAGCCTTTGTGGCTGAAAGATTAATCTCTGACAATATTTTGATTGCTCATGAATTAGTTCATGGTTTAAGAACTCATCCACGCATTTCGAAGGAGTTTATGGCAATCAAATCGGATATGTCTAAGGCGTATGATAGAGTGGAGTGGTCATATCTTTTAGCATTGTTGAATGCTCTGGGGTTTCATCCTAAGTGGGTAAGTTGGATCATGTTTTGTGTCACTTCTGTTTCCTTCTCTGTCCTTATTAATGATCAGCCGTATGGGATGATTAAGCCGGGAAGAGGTTTGAGACAGGGTGATCCCTTGTCCCCATTTCTGTTTGTCTTGTGTACTGAAGGGTTGACACATTTGATGAATAAAGCTGAAAGGAATGGTTTATTGAATGGTATTCAGTTTTCTGTTGAGGGACCTGCTATTCACCACTTACTGTTTGCTTATGACAGTTTATTCCTGTGTAAGGCAGAGGAGGATCAAGTCAGTGTTATCAAGTCGATCTTCAAAGTTATGGAGATGCTACTGGGCAAAAGATAAATTTTGATAAGTCTTCCATCACTTTTGGGGAAAACGTGGCTGAAGTGCATAAAGATTCTATCAAGACTCAGTTGGGTATTTTTAATGAAGGTGGTGCTGGCACATATTTGGGTTTGCCTGAGTGTTTCTCTGGATCAAAAATTGATATGCTGGACTTCATTAAAGACAGGTTAAAATCGCGTTTCTCAGGATGGTTTGCCAGGTCTCTCTCCTTGGGAGGCAAGGAGGTTCTGTTGAAGGCTGTGGCTTTGGCCATGCCTGTTTATGCCATGTCATGCTTCAAGCTCCCAAAGACAACCTGTGATAATCTGACAAGTGCTATGGCTGACTTCTGGTGGAGTGCCCTTGAACATAAGAGAAAGATGCATTGGGTTAGCTGGGATAAAATGTGTTTATCAAAAGCAGATGGAGGTTTGGGCTTCAAAGATATTCAGTGTTTCAACCAAGCTTTGTTGGCAAAACAAGCTTGGAGGTGTGTCCAAGATCCAGACTGTTTATTTGCAAAAGTTTTGAAGAGCAGGTATTTTGAGTCGGAGGAGTTTTTAGATGCTGATATTGGGTCAAGACCTTCTTTTGGTTGGAGGAGCATTGTGCATGGAAGAGAGCTGCTCATTAAAGGCCTTAGGAAAATGGTTGGTAATGGAAAATCCTTGAGTGTGTGGATGGACTCTTGGGTTTATGACAATGGGATGAGAGCTCCTTTTAGCAAAAATCCAATTATCAACTATGATATGAAAGTTGATGTGCTGATTAATATGGAGGATAAGGGTTGGAATAAAGAGGAGCTTGAGGAACATTTTTTCCCTAATGATATTGCTCTTATCTTGCTGCAGAAACCGGTGGTTGATAGAGAGGATTTCTATTGCTGGGAAAGCACGAAGTCTGGTGATTATTCTGTTAAGTCGGGCTATGAATTAGCTTGCAGGGTGAATAATGAAGATTTCTTGAGACAGGCCAGAATCCAACCATCTATTAATAAGCTGAAGGAAAATATTTGGTCCATTCAAACTGCTCCTAAGATTAGGATCTTTCTGTGGAGAGCTCTGTCTGGTGCTCTGGCTGTGAGTGAACAGTTTGCTATGAGGGGTATGGAGACTGATGTGAGATGTCAGGTCTGTGGAGAGGAGCCAGAATCTGTCAATCATGTTCTCTTTAATTGTGGTGTGGCCAGACAGATATGGGCTTTGTCGGGAGTGCCAGCTCCTAGAGGTGGTTTTGAAAGTAGTTCTCTGTTGGCTAATTTCCAATATCTTTATCAAATTCATTTGGATAAAAGATTGGATCTTAGAACCAAAAGGAGCTTCCCTTGGATTTTGTTGAGGATTTGGAAAAATAGAAACAAGTTTTTCTTTGAAAACTTGTGTTTCAGTCCACAAGATTCGATTGCCAAAATTTGGGAAGATGTGGATGAGTGGTTTGTGGCACAAGAGGTGTCTCGTGAGTCAGAGGAAGTGGAAGGTATGGGTTCTGTCTTGCTTATATGTTTGACTTGGGCCATGGATGCTATGTTTAGCCTTAAGCTGAAGAAGGTGATTTTTGCGGCTCAGGCACATGATGTCTTTGGTGCGATGGCTAGACCTAAAGCATGGCCATCTTTCTATAATCAGGTTGTAGAGATTAACCATTTTTTGGAGAAGATAGAAGACTGGAAATTGGAGGTGGAAAGTTTAAATGCTAATAGAGGCACTTCTCTCATTGCGCAAAGTGTTACTTCTGATGCAAGATTTCATGACTATGTAGCTGCTGGTCATCCGCATTGGTTGCATAGGGTTTTTGAAGATGAGAGACTTTCCTCTTTAGCTCCTTGATGTCATGGATCAGTTGTCTTTATCTTTGGTTACTATTTTTTGGTGTTTAGAGGAGTAACTCTTTTATCTAAGTTACGTACATCTTGAGGTTGTCAAGATTGTGTTGTAACAGGTTCTATATCATTCTAATATATATTTCTCAGAAGGAAAAAAAAAAAAAAGTAAAGAAAACTTAACAATCTCTTATTAATAATAAAATTATTTATTTAGATTAATTAATACTAATAAACTAATAATAGTTTGTACTATTATAGTTGGTGTATCACCATATTTATTTAAAAACATATTATACATACTAGGACTCCGGACCCCCGCGATGTCGCGGGGGAAAATATTTCAAAAATCGTTAAAAAAAAATCTCAAACGAAAATTAATAATAACGATGGTAGATGATTAAATGTTATAACGATTTATAAAATAAACTTAAAGTTGCAATTTTTCGTGAAATAAACTAAATGTTGCAATGGTTCAACTAAACGGCTGCAATCATTTTATGAAAAATTACGATAAAAAGATGCAACCGTAAAAAATATTTACTCGGATTGTAACTTTCTCAAAAAACATAACGTAAAATAATTTTTTTAGTTTAAAAAGAAGTAAATGAAATGTTGCGATATATCAAAAGTTGTAGCGGTTCGTCAAGTTCGTCAAATAAACTAAAGATTGCAATGGTTTGTAAAACAAAACAAAAAATTGCAATGATTGGTCAAATAAACCAAATGTTTCAACGGTTCAATTAAACGATTACAATCTCATTTAAATGCATTTTGGTAATTAAAAATTAAAAATATTAGTTTATGAAAATTATACCGAGAGACGCGACGGTAGATAATTAGATGTTATAGCAATTTGTAAAATAAACCAAAGGTTGCAATTTTTCGTGAAATACAAAAAAATATATATAAATCAAATGTTGCAATCGTTCGTGAAATAAACTAAATATATAAATCAAAGGTTACAATTGTTTGTGATATAAACTAAAGGTTTCAATTGTTCGTGAAATAAACTAAATATTGCAATAAATCAAATAAAATGTTGCAACTGTTTATGAAGAGGTACAATAAAAAGAAGCAACAGCAGAAGATATTCGGATTGCAATTTTCTAAAAAACATACCCGTAAAATATAAATTTTAGTTTAAAAATTAAAAATATATTCATATGTAAACTATGAAATAAACCAGTTTTATATGTAGTTTATTAGTTTACGTAAAAAAAAATTCAATAAAACAACCGTACAAAAATAACTGAAAAACAACCATAAATATTTAAACGAAAGATTGCAATAAAAAGACACAACCGTTTAGATGTACAAATGGTATTTATTAGAAACGACATAGCCGTAAAAAAATAACCGATTAAACAAAAATTACGATAAAAAGACGCAACCAAAATAACCGTAAAAAAATAACCGATTTAAACGAAAAGTTACGATAAAAAGACGCAACCGTTCAGATATGCAAATGGTATTTAGCCGTAAAAAAATAACCGACTAAAACGAAAATTACGATAAAAAGACGCAACCAAAATAACCGTAAAAAATAACCGATTTAAACGAAAAGTTGCGATAAAAAGACGCAACCGTTCAGATGTGCAAATGGTATTTATTAGATTGCTATTATATATAGATTAAACAAATCAAATAAAACTCTCGCATATCAAAAAAACCAGAGTAGATTAAACTTAAAATCCCGGTTCAATTCACTTAAAATAATCCCGGTTTCAATTGACTGAGATCGCTCTGTATTGAAATAGTTAGTAATAATTTTTGTTTTGTTTTTGAAATGGGAAATTAGATCTAGCAAGTGGCTCGTTTCGTTGCTTCAGATCTCTCTTCGATCGAGCTTCTTGGGGGTCAAGGGCATAATCAAAAACCAGAGAGCTAAGGCAATTTCTCCTTTCTCTCTCGATTCCGTCGTATCTCCAACGATCCGATTGTGTAATTCCTTCGATCTTGCTGTATTGTGCAGAATATTTGCTGTTGAAGCAGAGGAAGACGAAGAAGTGGAAGACGAATAAGAAGGATTAAAGATGGCG